GTACTACGTAATGAGAGTCTGTCTCAACCCAAAAGAAACCCAAAAAAACACCCCAAAACCAATTACAGCTTATTTGTTGAAAACAGACCTATCCTGTTCCCACGTTCCCATTACTTCTATCTATGGTGCTATTTTTTGAAGTTTAATGAATGTGTAAACTGTGTCTATTTCCTTAATACATGTGAGTTTTTGCCTATCTAAAATGATAGCACAGTCAGGGCTATTTTATATAAGGTTGTGATTATTCTAGGGTAAAAAAAGGAAAAAAACCAAAAAACTGTTGATAAAATAGTTAAGGTTGTCCTACTTAGATACAAAGACTACAAGAACTGGCCTGGATGTGCATGGAACATTCTTAGGGAACAGATAAAGCAGAGGCTTCGGGCCAATTTCTTTTCTCCCTGCCTGCCCACGGAGTAGCTGTGTCCAATTTGGCTACTGTCTCTCAGTGACTGGATAAAGCCTGTGTGACAAAGGCCCCTTTGTCATCTTCCCGACCAGTAAGAAGTGGGGGCTCAGAAAGATTTCGTTGGCCTTGGGCTGGAGGGTGTCATTAGGTATAGGTCAGCAGGAAGAAAAAAAACTAGAAAATAAACCCTCATGAAAGAAATTAGAATGAAAGGAAAACCTGAAACCAGTCTCCTCAAAAATTATCTTGCTACACTACTGTCTTACTCTTGGACCTGCTTTGTGCTGGGCTTCGCACGCCCCATGATGTGGGGCAATTGTATATTATAAATGCCATAACGGTGCTAGCTAAAAACCTGTTAACTACTTGGACAATTGCTCTTGCAGAATCTACTAAATTGACTCGAACTCTAGTTCCGTTGTTGACATTGAGGTCTAGTTTAATAGGTCACATCCAGTGTAGTAAAGCTGTGTAAGACCACACAGCATCACACAAGTAGAAGGTTAAAGTGCCAGGCCCCTGGTGGCGCATGACTGTAATCCCAGCACGTGGGATGCTGAGGCAGGAGGATCGCTGCAAGTTCGAGACCAGCCTGGGCTATAAAGTGAGCTCAAGGCCAGCCTGAACTTCATAGGGAGACCCTGTCTCAAAAAGGACCCCCCTAAAAAAAAGAAGATTAAGATAGGAGGATCACAAGATCAAGCCAAAGTTGACAAGCAGCCTGCCAATGGAAGAGGACTTTGGTTGTAGTATATTTGATTTCTAGTATGGATTATAAGTGTGGACCCCGGGGATTATTTACATGCATGCCATCTTCTGCATGGTATGCGGTCTTCCAGTTGAACATTCTGGAGGTTACAAGTCATTGATTTGGATCCTCTCACTATGGAATAAAGACTTAAGTCTTTGGGAGAGGAATGTTCCTTTAGAGTTAAGTGTTCCCTGATGTGATTATGTCCTGCACGTCTGTTTTCTAGACCGATAGTCATTTCTCTTTGTCCCCATTCTCTCCCATTTTGTAAGTACATATCATCACCCCATGGAAGATTCAGTGGACGTGGACATGAGCCCCCTGGGGCCCCAGAACTGTCTTTTCAGTTGTAACTAAAGGCTGACAAAGATTGTCACTTTAATGTGAGTAATGCTGAAGATGAGTATCAGTTATTAAGAAAGTCAGTTTAAGGGCTGTTGCAAAGGATAAATTTCACATTGTTAAAGCAGGGGCAATGAATTAAGAAGGCAGTCCAACTAAAGTTACATTGGCAGCTTTGAAAATGTCTGAACAGCCAATGGTTTCCCTTGAGGACTTGGAAATTACACCGCTTGTGTTTTTTGTTTTGTTTTTTGTTTTTGAGACGGGGTCTCACTATGTCGTTCAGGTTGGCCCCTTGGACTCACTGTGTAGCCATAGCTGGGCTTGAACTCCTGCTTCAGCCTCCCAGTTGCTGGGATTACAGATATGCACCACCATGTCTGCCCTACCACCTGTGGTCTTAAGGATGAAATGTGTGTCCAGTGTGTATATTAGAGGATAGCACATAGTTGCTGTGTAGGAAGATGCAGAGTCAGAAGAGGAAGAGGAAGTGGATGAAAAATTTGTAAGTATATCTGGAAAGTGATCTGCCTCCAGGAGTGGTAGCAGGGTTCCAGAGGAAAAAAGTAAACCTAGCTGCTGAAGATGATGATGGAGATGATGATTTGATGATGAGGAAACTGAAGAGAAAGCTCCAGTGAAAATATATATAAGATACTCCAGCCACAAATGCACAAAAATCAAACCAGAATGCAAAAGACTCAAAACTTAACGCCAAGATCAAAAGGTCAAAGATCCTTCAAAAAAACCTCCTAAAACACCCAAAGGACCTATTGGTCTGGTGGGTTGTTTTTTTGTTTTGTTTTGTTCTGTTTTTGGGGGTCTTTTTCACTATGGAGTTCAGGCTGGCCTCGAACTCACAGCGATCCTCCTGCCTTAGCCTCCCAAGTAGTGCTGGGATTATAAGCGTGTGCAACCACATCCAGCAGGACCTAGTTTTGTAAAAGACATTAAAGCAAAAATGCAAGCAAGTATAGAGTAAGGTGTTTCTCTTCCCAAAGTAGAAACCAAGTTCATCAGTTATGTGAAGAATTGCTTTCAGGTGACCAAGTAGAAGGCTGGTCAAGATCTCTGGCAGTGAAAGAAGTTTTTAAGAAAACACAGTTTACAAGAAAAAGAAAAGAAGAAAACACAGTTTACAAGAAAAAGAAAAAAAGAAAACACAGTTTATAGTTTGTTAAAATTGTCTTTTTTCTTTTGTAAAACAGTTGATGTTTGACTATCCTTTTAATAATGCAAAATGAGAACTTTCCCTACTGTATTTGATAAATATTTTCCAGGTTCTATAGCTGTGAATGTGTTTTCCAGAATGCCTATTTAGTTTTCCAAGGTGAAACTCCAACTTTTTTGCTTGGTTTTAAGTGTTGAGTGTTATGTGTTGAGTGTTAAGCTAGGACATAGTAATAGTGATGGTCAGATATAGAAATGGTAGGGAGATAAAAAATATACATGTGAAATAAATTCAATATTTTAACAAGTTTAAAAAAAAAGAATGATCCAAGCTGAAGCTGTGTCTCTCGCCTTCCTCTGAGATGGGGTCTGCCCTGTTTACCATTTTAAGCCCCCAGTACTTGACACAAGTTGCACAATACATACTTGTTGAATGGATGCTTGAACTAAAACAGACTGAGTGTTAGGAATTCCCAAGTACCTTCAAAACATTTGATAATTGTTTTGTCATCATTGAGTCAAAAGACTGTGTGTCTTCTGACTTTTGATTCCAGACTTAGGCATTATCATCTAGGATATGAAGGAGGAAGATGCTCTAGTTTCTTTCAGAGGAAAGAAATGATAACCAGAAGAGTAGAACTTACCAGTATTCCAAAAGGAATGTCATTATAGTCTTGAGGAATCAACCTATGCTCTGGGAGAGGTGTTTTTATGTTGGTTTGTTTGTTTTAAATCATAGAATCCTGCCATGGTGACAACAAACACAAATTATAGAGGTGAGATTGGAAGTTCTATGAGTTGGATGTGGAAGTGGAGAACACTTGTCAGAGTCCTTGCTCACTCTCAGATAAACTGCCTTTGAGAGAGATGGAAATATAAATTGGAAGACACTAGAAGGAAATAGCCTGGTTGTCCTGCAAGCTAAAAAGCTTGCCACCTCTTCTGCAAACATGTATTAGGTCTCTGCTGGGTCAGTGGTAGGTTCCCACTTTGCCACAATGAGGGCAGCCTCACTCCCACATGGCAGTTCAGGAACTTCACCTGCAGAACCGCTCTGCTTTTGCTAGGACCCAGTGATGTGGGAAAATGCAACCCATTTCTTGACCCAGAGAGGAGTATCTTAGTTAGTTTTCTCAATGCTGAGACAAAATATCTGTGACCCAAAGTTTAAAAAGGAAACGTTTATTTAGCTCAGTTTGTAGAAGTTTCAGTCCATAATCCACTGGCTCCAAGACAGGGTGGCACATAGCAGAGGGGCAGCTATTCATAGTGGTGGAAGACAGTAAAACCAGCAAGGGAGAGTGAGACAAGCCTCTTTCTGTCCCTTATATTACTGGGATTAGGGCAGTGCCAATTGTGCCAATCCAGTCTATAGATCAAGCAGTCATCCACCCCTAACCCCAGCATTGCATGATGAATCAATCACACACTGTAGATTCAACCACCTCCAGAAAACCCTGTGATTGCATGAGGCTTTGGGGAGACATCTAGACACAAACTGTAACATTTGGATTTCTTACTATTCTTGTTGCTGAGACGAAATACCTGACACCCACCCAAAGTTAAAGGAGGACAGGTTTATTTGGTTGACAGTGTGTAGAGGTTTCGGTCCATAATCGGCTGGTTCCAGGGCAGGGTGCCTTGGCAGAGCGGCATCGCAGAGGAGAACAGTTCATGGTGCCCACAAGATAGCAAAAGCAAGAAGTGGGGAAGAGAGAGAAAAGCCTCTTTTTGTCCCTTATATTCTATCCAGTTTACTGGGATTAGGGTGATGCCAATCCAATCATGGACTGATTCAGCAATTACCCACCCTTAACCCCAGCACCCTTAATCCCAGCATTGCAGTGCAAATCTGTCACACATTCTAGATTCAGTCACCTCTGAAAAAAAGCCTGTGATTGCATAAGGCTTTGAGGGGACATCTAGACACAAACCATAACAAGGTGTTTGAGGACTCATGGGAAATCCCAGGTGGAGCCAGAAGAGGCCAAGTGCAGGTAGATGTAGGAAGAATGTCCCAAAGGATCTAACAGGCCTCGCCTTCAGAAGAAAGGAGCCCACCTTAGGTTGATCAGCCTTGGCAAAGAGCAGCAGCCCACAGTCATTACCATTGGAATTTGCTTTTCCTTCATATACCTTTCAGGGTCATATTTCCTTCTCTCTGTGCATAATATTTGTCAGGAATCTGTCCCAGCGAGAAGGGACAGAAGTTTTTGAAAAGTTCCAGGACCACCTCATCCTCTATCTCTCACAAGAAAGAAAGTTGAGATCCTTTCTGAGAGTTAATATGTATAATTCACTCAGAAAAACAAATGTTAACTCTTCCAGAGATGTGAATACAGCTGTGATGGAGCTGCTGATCATGGCTTATGCACTGAAGACTTCCTGTGCTAGGAACATCATTGGAGTCATCCCCTATTTCCCCTATAGCAAACAAAGCAAGATGAGGAAGAGGGGTTCCATTGTGTGCAAGCTCCTGGCATCCATGCTGGCAAAAGCAGGTGAGTGAACAGAAAACTTGGAGTTCCTATTTGAGATTAGATCTTAACCTGAAGTATCTAGTTTGGGACCTTTTTTTCTGTTCTGTTTATTGCGTGCTTTTTCTTATGTTCTCTTTTGCATAGTTTGGTTAAGAATATGTGAGCTTATAATTCTTACAGTTTTATTTTTAGAATGGTAATACTTCATTGTTTTCTCCTCTATAGCAGACTTTTTTTTATCATTCTGTCACTTTTTTATTTCATCTAGTTATCACATTTTACTTGTCAGGCTTGGCAATCTTGTGTGATCTTTCAGATGTGTTTTCCCGAGTTAGCTACATTCTTTTTAGGTTCATAGCATTAAAAGTGGATTTTTCTTTTACTGTTTCTTTATTTTATGTACTCTGCCCCTCCCTCCATCTCTTCCCTCCATCCCTTTGGCCTTGGCAGCTCATTTTCATTGTTTTTATTCTATTTATGTAGCAATGGCATAATTCCTGACGTATAAATAAAATGTAATAATATCTTATAATTATTGAGCTTTTATTTATTTGATGTTTATTAAAAATAATAATAAAACTTCCTTTGCTCTGGAAGTTTTGCAGTGACTTTTGACTGTTTGCAAGGTTTTTGTACATGTACTGTTTCTGTTCAATACTGTTGATTATACGAATATGATTTCTTTGTCTTTCCTGTAAGAATGCTTCATAAACCATCTTTTATCACATAAAGAAATTATTCTAAGCTTCAGCATCTTGTGGTTATCCTGTATGCGTTTCTTTTTTTCTGATATACCTATTACTTTGCTTTTGATTTCTTGTTCCTCTCTGCCATAGCCATGGTCCTTCAATATTTATTTCTCCCTATATTTTTTTCTCTATATATTTTTAATAAAGGCTTTTTATTGTTGACACCTATTATTGCTTTGGTATTTATTAACTCCATAGTCATATTTTCACTTCTGTCTCATTTTTCTTTTCTCACTTTTCAGGATCAAGCTAATAATAGAGGACAGCATTTTTCTTTCATCTTGAGTTCTTTGGTCCTGTGCAAAGTCATGGGTTCCTTGGCATTAAGCTCAACACATTTTTTACTTCATCAGGTTTATGGAGCTTTACAGTAAAAGTCTGTAACTGTGGTGCTGGTTATATCCACTGCCTTCAGTCTTCTGGTAGGAAACAGGAGTTGAACACCTAGTTTGTATCCACTGTAGCCATTAACTTGTAGGGGAGAACTTTGTAATTTTTTGTTTTAAAATTTCAGGTTTAACTCACATTATCACTATGGATCTTCACCAAAAGGAAATACAAGGCTTTTTCAGCTTCCCCGTGGACAACCTTAGAGCCTCACCTTTCCTGCTTCAGTACATCCAGGAAGAAGTGAGGAGCCAGCAGCTCACATCCCATTGCCCTCAAATCCTATTTAGTTTTTTCTGGTATCAGATTTTAGTATTGAAAGGCACATCGGATGATTGTGTCCCTTCAGCCTTAATGCCTGCAGCAGCCAGATAGACTCAGCATGTAGTCATGGAGGATCATATTTTTAAAAGACATTAAAAACAGATTTCCTTAGCAATTTGCATATGTTTTCTAGAATGAAGGTTTTAAGATTGATCGATTGACTGATGATGGTGCAGGGGACTGAACTTAGGGTCTAGCTCTGAGCTACACTTCTAGCCTTTTTTTTAGACAGGTTCTCACTGAGTTGTCCGGGTTGGGATCCAACTTGCCATACTCCTGCCTCAGCCTCCCAGAGTGCTGGGATGCAGGCATGTACCACCATGCCCAGCCCCTAAATTTTGTTTATCAAGGGGAAATCTGACTCTGAATGTTTTATTTTGTTTTATTTGTTTTGTTTTTGTGACAGAGTCTTGCTGTGTACTTCAGGCTGGTCTTAAACTCACAGCCATCCCGCTGCCTCAGCCCACTGAGTGCTTGAATAACGGGCGTGTGTCACTATACCTGGCTGAATTATTTTTTATTTTTGTGATGTAGTACTTTTGCAGAGATGCTAATTCATAAATGGTGAAAAAATGTAAGTGTGTGAGTAAAGTTTTAACATATTTGATTGCTAGTTTGGATCACTGTTACAAGAGGAAAAACATATAATATCAGCATCCAGGTTGTTTTGGGTTTTGTAGGGGGAAGTGGTTTTTTTTGAGACAGGGTCTACCATGTAGTTCAGGCTGGCCTTGGACACACTGTGTAGCCCAGGCTGGCCTCAAACTCATGGTACTCCTCCTGCCTCAGCCTCTGAGTGCTGAGATTACAGACGTGCACCACCATGCCCAGCTGTCTTTTTTTTAAATAACCTTATGGTATTTTCTGTTTTTCCTCCAAATATAGATTCCAAATTACAGAAACGCAGTCATTGTAGCAAAATCTCCTGATGCTGCAAAAAGGTAACTAAACTAGACATTTATAAAAATCCTTTTCAGGTAAATCTGAAGTCAGAATTATTTGTTTTGGAATCCAAGACTGTCATAACATGGCTAACTCTCAGGCTTTCTCGCATGTCATTGTCACATGCATCCCCACAGGTTTCTATCCAGCCTGCCAGAGGCTGAGTGCAACTCTGAGTTAACACAGTTTGCCCCTGGGAGGAAATGAAGTTCTTCTTTCCAGGTCGCAGGAAAAGGAAATCAGTTGGGCTATGAGCATTTTTCAGGGAATAGCCTTTAGGACACCTTTTTGAACAGTTTTTCTAAAGCTGTCCACTAGAATGCTGGAGAAAGGAGGTGGTTATCAAGAATAAAAAAAAGCAAAAAATATTCGACAAGGATAGAAGCAAAATTATCTAGAATCAGATACCAACCCAGCTCATATGCCCTTGAGGCATTTACATTGTGGCCTGATT